GGGAAAGCACTTCGGAACAGGTGCAAATCCAAAATGATGAGTGCTATGTGTTCATACACACCCCTGGCTTATACAGGGATAGCAGTAAATATTGTTGGATGCATGCATGTGTATACACGTGCACACATAAACATACACCTGCAGGTAACTTAGGTCTGCTAAAGAGTGGTCCACTTCACAAGGGTGAGGAAACCTTTTACCCAATTAATCAAAGGCCACTCCACTTACAAAGCTACCCACATGTGTTAGATTTATTTGATGGTCATGGGGAGAGAAACATAAACATCTGAACTTCCTTTTAAAATCAAGAACAACAAACTAAAAATATTGCCTTTAAATACAAGAAGTAAAAGCACCCAGTTTGGGAGGGACAGCAGGAAGCACACAGAGGACTACCTCAAATCTTTAAACATCAGAAGACTCCGCCTTTAATCTGCCTTGAATGTATAGGTATTATAAAAGGATACAGCTTCTAGAGCGGGGCAGAATAATTTGCTACTTGAGTCCAAATTGTGGTGTCTTGAAGCCAGCTCCTACTGGCTTATGAGAGCTAATTGTTAAATACCCAGCAATTTTGCAAACAGGTTGTTAAGCTGTTGCAATCTTGAAATCAGCCATGATGGCAGTGTTTACACCACAGAAATTGGCAAACACTACAAGCCAGGTCTCCCTCCAACCCCCACCCCAGAGAGCCAATTTACCAGCACACCAATGAGTTCAAATATTATTAAGGAACACTTTAATGAAAAAGCCCAATTTTCTGATAATTCTTATGGGACAGAGTCTCTCTACTCACCAACTCTTAGACTTTAAACTTTCCCCTGAGTGACTCCGAGTCTAATTTGTATTTTTTCCTTCTTTCTTTAGGCTCTTCCAATCCCCTTGGAGCCTATCACAACTAAACACTAATTTGAAAGATGCCCATATTTGAATATTAACGGTTAAGAGGACAAGATTTGAATTCGAATCTAGATTAGACACATCCGGGTTTGAACCCAGCAGCCTGCATTCACCGGATGTGTGATTTAAACATTACGCACTCCACATGCTTTTGTTTTTTTTTTTTCCTGAAAAGAGCATGATAATAACTACCTACTGGAGTTCTTGTGGGAATAATAGTAATATTTCCCTTACAGGGTTGTTGTAGGGATTAGATGAGTTATTAATTGTAAAGCACTTGGAACTCTGGCTACAGAAAGCTATATGAATGGTAAGTATGTGATGTGACACACATGTTAATTAGATTGATTGTGACAATCATTTTACAATGTATATGTATATAAAAACTTCATGGACCGGGCACAGTGGCTCATGCCTGTAATCCTAGCACTTTGGAGGTTGAGGTGGATGGATCACCCGAGATCAGGAATTCAAGACCAGCCTGGCCAACATGGTGAAACCCCATCTCTACTAAAAATACAAAACTTAGCTGAGCGTGGTGGCGGGCACCTGTAATCCCAGCTACGTGGAGGCAGAGGCAGGAGAATCGCTTGAACCCAGGAGGTGGAGGTTGCGGCGATCCAAGATTGCACCATTGTACTCCAGCCTGGATGACAAGAGTGAAACTCCATCTCAAAAAACCATACCAAAACATCATGTCATACACCTTAAATATACAAAAGTTTTATTTGTCAATCGTTTCTTAAAAACTTTGGGAAAAAGGAGAAAGTCCTATGCATGTACTTATAGTTGAATGTATTGATATGATTAGGAAGATTAAGATACTACATGTACCTAGGACGTTGTAGACACTCAGCAAATTGTAATTGTTTCTGTTCTTCTTCTTGCAGTTCTGCTATTATACAGAATTAATATTTGGATTCAAACACATTTTCTGCAGGAGCTGGAAGGCTGACGTCTCCCGGGCCATAGCCCAGCCATTTGTCATGCCTGATGCCATTTTTGGAAGTAGACCTTTAGTTCTGAAAATGAGCAAGCCCAAAGTGGCTGGGCCAGGAGGCCCACACTGCAGAAGGAGACGGGGCAAGGAGAGCAGCCTGCTCTTCCCTTTCTTTGAACTTACAGAACTTATTACCAGGAACTCTGGGTCTATAATAACTGTTTCTGACTTTACTCTGTATTCTCTTTTACAGAGGACTATATTTGAACCTTGGATACCATGGTGATAATGTTATTCCCTTTTTGTGCTTTTGTGGCTTGGCTGGGCTGGGCTGGGTGGAAGGTAGGGGGCTTCTGCATCACCTCTCCTCAGCTGTTTCACTTCCCTCTCCCTGGGGTAGTGGTCTCGCTTTCCATAACACTATGGCCCAGCTGTTTTAAAAAGCGACAATCTTGAATTGTAATGTTTGCCAATTTTTGTGGTGCAAATACTCCCTCTATGGTTGATTTCAAGCTGCTAATGGTTTAGTACCCAGGTTGCAAAATTCCTGAATATTTAAAAATTGTCTCTCTCACCACCTGACTCCAGCATACCCCTATCTGTTAATATGTAATGGAGAGAGTCTGATGTAGGTTTAGGACATATGGCCTTGGGCTCTCCTGCATCTTTACTTACATGATGCTGTAGCATGACTCAACTATTTTGAGCTTTGATTTCCTTCCTCAATTGCAAAACAAGAAAGTGAAGGAATCACTTTCTTTTACTTAATTTTTTTTCAAGGCACCTGAGGAAGGGTTTATGTCCTGTGAATTAATCAGGGAAAGCCAACATAGTTTTTTTTTTTTTTTCATTTTGAGGTGGAGACTCTGTCGCCCAGGCTGCAGTGCAGTGGCACGATCTCGGCTCACTGCAACCTCCACCTCCCAGGTTCAAGTGATTCTCCAGCCTCTGCCTCCCAAGTAGCTGGAATTATAGGCGCGGGCCACCATGCCTGGCTAATTTTTGTATTTTTAGTAGAGACAGCGTTTCACCATGTTGGCCAGGCTGGTCATGAACTCCTGATCTCAAATGATCCACCCACCTTGGCCTCCCAAAGTGCTGGGATTACAGGTGTGAGCCACCATGCTGGGCCCATAGTATTTCTCTTTAAATGTGAAGATGGGAATCTGCTAGTAACTAAAAAGATCACTTTTAAGAAGAAACATTTAATCTTAAATTTAATGAAATTCAATACATATAGTTATCTATTCCCCTTCCCACCCCCTAATCTTGTCTAGGTTTTTCTTTAACTTGCTTCCTTATTGGGTAATAGTTGGAAGAGAGAAAATCAAAGTCACTTTGCGATTTCACTTTGGAAGTATTTTGATTTTCTCAGGCAAAGGTGAGGATATTTGATATAATTAGTTTCCTGTGTAATCCTATTTATTGTATTGCATATGCATATAGAAGTATTATTGAAAAGTAATCCACAGAATTCTCAAGAGTGCTAGAGAGTGTATGGCAAAAAAAAAAAAAAAAAAAAAAATCAGAGTAGAGGATTTAGGAAGAAGATGTTTTCCTTCCTTGGTGCTGAAGAGGGGAGATTTCTAGCAAAGGAATTAAGAGCCACTCTCCTCACTGGACTCTCTCTCGAAGTGCATAAGGAAAAGAAAATGTATACCTTATTCTTCTGAATAAATATCTAAAATTAACTGAAATTTATTAGGCATATAGAGTTTTGATTGACTTTGTTTCATAAAGCATGTTATCCATTTTTCCACCTCTCTCCTTTTTTTTTTTTTTTTTAAATTATTTGCTGTATAGTCTTTAGGTCAATGTTTATAGTTGAAAAATAACATTCTTTCCGTTATGGGGAAGCATGTGATTTCAAGATAATCTACAATGAAAGAAAAACTTTATGTTCTCATGTTGGACAGTTGGATGTCTCTAAACTTTCTTGTCTAACAGGAAGATGACTTTAGTAGAGACAGGTTTTCTCCATGTTGGTCAGGCTGGTCTCACACTCCCGACCTCAGGTGATCTGCCTGCCTCGGCCTCCCAAAGTGCTGGGATTACAGGCATGAGACACCGCGCCCGGCAGGAAGATGACTTTACATCACCTCATTCCTGTAATGAATACTGTGGAGACCTGCCATTTGCCAGGCAAGCTAAAGGCACTGGGGCCAGTGAGATAAATGTGTCATGCCCCTATCCTCAAAGAGTTCCCAGATTCACAGAGGAGGACACGAGGTGAACAAAACGTTATGACACAGGCAGGCAGTGAGTGCTGTAAGACAAGAAGGGGCTGTGGGAGGGTGTACCTACTACATGTGGCTAGACTGTCCCCACATATGGGTCGATCAGAGCTACATGGGTTTTCTCTATTAAAATTATTTTCTTTTTATTGATTAGTATAGAATTTTATTTTATTATTTTTTGAGACAGAGTTTCACTCTTGTCACCCAGGCTGAAGTGTAATGGCGTGATCTCGGCTCACGGCAACCTCTACCTCCCTGGATCAAGCGATTCTCCTGCCTCAGTCTCCCAGGTAGTTGGGATTACAGGCGCCTGCCACCAGGCCTGGCTAATTTTTGTATTTTTGGTGGAGAAGAGGTTTCACCATGTTAGCCAGGCTGGTCTTGAACTCCTGACCTCAGGTGATCCACCAAACTTGGCCTCACAAAGTGCTGGGATGACAGGTGTGAGCCACCATGCTGGACCATTGATTAGTTAAGAATTTTAATGGTAAAGATAAGAATAGATAAATTTAAGGGCTCATTTTCGTTTCTTCATCCTCATGCTATAACATACAGTGTATTTGAACTTCCAAGCACAAATTCACAGGTGCAAAAAAATAACACGTGGCATTATTCCATCAGTAGTTCTTTCTTTTCCTTCTTTTTTTGAGACGGAGTCTCACTCTGTCACCCAGGTTGGAGTGCAGTGGCGTGATCTCGGCTCACTGCAAGCTCCACCTCCTGGGTTCATGCCATTCTCCTGCCTCAGCCTCCCGAGTAGCTGGGACTACAGGCGCCCATCACCACGCCTGGCTAATTTTTTCTGTTTTTAGTAGAGATGGGGTTTCACTGTGTTAGCCAGGATGGTCTCAACCTCCTGACCTCGTGATCTACCTGCCTCAGCCTCCCAAAGTGCTGGGATTACAGGTGTGAGCCACCATGCCCAGCCTCATCAGTGATTCTTTATTTTGGGTATATGGTAGAATATGGCACCTGGGAGAGTTTTCAAAAAGTACCAAAGCTTGAGCTACTTCTTGGTGAGCAAGGACCTTAAAAAACTCTCGAGCAAAAATGGGATGCCTTCTAGGAGGGTGAGACGCTGTCAGAGTCTCTCCTGCCCCAAGGACCCAGACTGATCACCAACGTTCATGGCACAAATTGGCTATAGGGGCTTCCAGGCCGAATGCTCCCTATTAGCATTGGGAGAATAGGCACTGAACCTGCCAGATGATGAAGCAGAAGTGACCTCCCTAGAAAAGCTCCTCACCCCTCAGAAATGATTTCCTACCTTGAGAATTGATACTTGAAATTTCACAGTTAGATGGCCACACCTTTTCCAGAAGCTTTAGTTTCTTCAAAAATAGAAGTGTCTCTAAGGAGTTACAATAAAATTTACTGGTGATTTGTATCATTTGGGGCTCATCTCCTCATAGCAGGTTTTGAAAGGGGTGAGCAAGGTAAGTTTATGAGACTATTGGATTCTCCTAATGAGCATTGGAAAAGGTGCAAGAATAGAAGCCTGTATTTGGCACTTCTGAGCATGGGTCTGCAGCTCACCCTAAAAGTGGAGTTGGTCCCTTATTTTAAAATCACTTAATGCTCTTTGTAATGCTATCATTATAGGGATGATGCTCTTTCTTCTAGTTTTGAACTCTCTGCTGTCTAGAAACTTTTTCATGTCAAAAGTTCACATTGTTCATTCATATCAAAAGAACCAAATGAGATACAAACAGAAAAATACAATTTATATGGCAGAAGTGGGAAAAATCATGGAAATTCCTCAAAAAGCGAGTAGCACAGGTCAGGGTGGCATTCCTTGTACGCTTTCATACAAGATGTTTTGTATCATTCTCGCTTAGAAACATAAGCACCTGTCCTCAGAGAGGCTGGTCAGGGATGGTTCTGCAGAGCACTTAGCACATTCTGAGTGCTCTGTAAATGTTGAGGCTATGAGGTAATCTTCAGAAGATGTCTCCTCAGAGGAAGGTGCTATGCAAATACTAGTATTGTTATTCTTTTAGCACAAATATATAATTGACTTTCTGTTAAACATTGCAGCAAGTTAAATTAATTCGGTATGATTACAGTCATTAAACAAATGCCTGGTAATGACTGCCTTCTTATTTTAGCAATTCCTCAGACCACTGGGGTAATACCGTACAAGACTTTTGTTCCATTGTCAGATTAATTGGGTTGTACAACCTGCGTTTCACGATAGAGCGTGCACACTGCCTTACAGCAACCGGACCATGATTTAAGCCTAGTGCTGAACTAATTTACCTTCCAGTTTTCCCTATTGCTCTTGCCATTCCGTTAGGTACAATTGACTAGTTCATTACAGCATACAAGTAGCTTAAGGCCATTTCTACCTGTTAAAAAAGAAGTGTGCTTTTCAAACCAAAATGTGGGCAGGAATTCTCCCACAATCATTCTCGCAACGTTGAAACCAGCCAAAGCGAGAGGGACAGTGGCTTTAACCTGTGCTCGCGTGGGGGTGGTCACCCTAAGAATTACCTGCCATCTTAGCAAGCAGGACAGAAACAGTTAAGTCCTAAAGGCTGTGAGTTAAAAACTCTGTCTGAGAGAAAAGCAACGTAAGATGTCCCTGCCAGGTGTGGATGGAGAAAGACTGCACTCCTTAAGCCTCTCTTTCCACTGAAGGTCATCTGTCTGGTGCCACCTTAGAAACTGGTTCTGCAGAGGACATTGAATGATAACACCCCGCAAGTCAGCTGACTGCTGTGTCAGAGCTGCTGCTTTCTGCATTATCGCAACTGCCAGCTCCAGCTCCTGCAGTTTCCCAGTCGCAATGCAGCAAAGCAGAGGCAGACAACTAGGCACAAAGCAACAGAGTTTTAAAGTTTTCTTCTCCTGCTACTACTTAGCATGTCTTGCATGAGGAGTATTTACCTTTGTTTAGCCAGGAGCAGAGATGCAGCCTGAATGTACACGATGGCTTCTAACTTGGCAGCGCGAATTTTCAGCTGAGCAGGTACTGCTCGGAGACTTGTAACCAAACTGCTTCTGATGGAGCACGGCTGGTTTCCCACCATGTGTGTGAATAGTTTGGGGGCTTCTTATGCCACGCTGCTCTATCTGCAGGAATAAAGGCTAGGACAAAGGAGAGGATGCTTGCCATGGTTTGTCTGGCTGGGGCCTGTGCGAGCGACTCACCGCACTGATGCTGTGTGACTCCCCAGCTCACATTTAAGGCTGGTCACGGGGCTGGCGCAGATCCCCACTCCTCAGTTAGAGCACGGTTTAAAGGAGAAACCAGACTCCCTGATCTAAATCTTTCCCAGTCCTCTCTGGATGCGGGACAGCTGTCGACTAGCAGTGACACAACCAGCCATCAAGTGGAGAATCCTTGCGACTGCAGTCTGTGTGCAGGTGGAGCCCGGGAGAATGACAGTCTAATTTCGGTCATCCAATGGCTTTTTCTGATTTTCCTAAATAATCGTGCTCGCTAAGTATACAGTTGTCTGGATTAGCCTGCCTGCCATGCAGTCCTCATCAACTCTGGCTGGAAATCAGGGTGCCAGGCAAGCCGCCTTTAGCTCTGGCTTCTTTCTGCGTGATGCTATGCAGCTAGGATGGGTCACGCTGACAACAAAGAAGGAAGCAGAAAGCATCACTTTCTCTTCTCTTGTGATGTTAGCGGAACATAACTCTTCTTCGCAGTGATGCCCTCCTCTCTCTCTCTCTCTCTGTGTGTGTGTGTGTGTATGCGTGTTTTAATTCATCTAATCGAAGAGCCTAGCAAACATCATCATGGACGTGGTTTTTAATGATTTGGAAAAAGCAAAAAAAAGACAGCCTGTGGAGACAGCGATTCGAAACAGCGGCACATTTAGGTTATTGCCAATTTGAAATACTTGGTTTGTGAAGCTGAGCCCTAAGGGACAAGCTCGGTAACTGAGGAAGAGATCGTAGATAAAGAAATAAAAATGACAAGCGTAATGGAGGCTCTGCGAAGGGACTGTCAGAGCATCAGTTCATGGATGGCAATTTCGCCAGGCTGAGATTGAATAATTCATAGATTGAAATTACCCTGCTTTCACCTTTCCATTTAAACCGGCACGATCTGAATCTCTAATAAATTTTCAAGATAAAGTAAAATGCCAATTTGAATCTGAAGAGCTTTTAAAACCAGATGCTGCATCCCTGCATCTTTCGGTATCTTTCACAATTATCCTATGAGAACAGCACTTCATCACGAAGCACCATTACCAGGGAAAATTACTGTGATTACAATAGCAACAATAGAATACCATCAAATGATCTCTAATTTACCTAATTTGCTAAGACTGACTGTGTGGTTTTGATATCCATTGTATGTCACCATGCCCGGCACCCGTGAAGCTATCTCGCGCTGGAACAAAAGTGGCATCGTGTGTGTGTGTGTGTGTGTGTGTGTGTGTGTGTATGTGTGCATGCACATCCTGCTACCTTAACTGTGAAAGCCTGGCAAAGAATATTCTCCTAGGTTACCATATTTCTTTCCTTTGGTTCACATTTTTGCTTTTTTCCAGTGCCTCTACCCCAAACGTGTTTGGGGAAATGGAGAGCCTGTCATGGATGACTGTTTTTTGATACAGAAGAGCATTGATTTGTTAATTTATATACCCACTTTATTTTAATGTCTACAAGCATGTGTTTACTAAAAGGGAGGTAGGATGCTGTTCTGGGAGAGTAGTTTTAAAATGCAGCCGAGATGTAGCATATGTGTTTGTTTCTTCCTTGAAACGCCTGTCTGTCTCTTTCAGGTTAGAAATCCTTTCCGGGAACTTTAGTCCTGGTGTGATGTGTCAGAAGCCTCTCAGATTGCAAAGAAGCTCGGGAGAGACAATCAGTAATAACTCTATACAGCTTTTATTAAAAGCATGCATGTTCAATTCAGTGATTAAATGAAGCTTCGGTACAACTTTGGCTATGTTTATGCCTGCTCACTCTGGAGTAAAAGTCTGTACTAAAGAGAACTTTTTGGGACAGGCTGCACGGTTCATCTCAGGGTAATTGTGCCATCCTGAGAAGGTGGCATGGATCATAAATCCTCCCTGGAGAACAGACTGTAATCATTAATAGGCACAATGGCTTCTGGAATTTTACTTTCAATAGTATGAAGGTAGTATGTGGGTTTCTGCTAGTCAAGTGATTTAAGTGTGGTTATCTAAGGTAGGGCTTCGGAGGTATGACAACCATCTGGGAGGAAGGTAGGTTTGAAACACACCTTTCTAACGTTCTGGGGTTTTTGCATGAGATCCTTAACTCTGATACGTTCCTCAATCCATTATCACAGCTTTACCCCTTCCCTTATCCTGTGACCCAACAAATACCGTTGTCAGAGCAGGTAAGTTGTGTTTCTCATCATTTGTATAATTGAATATGTTTTTCATTGTGGGTTTTCAGCAAGAACATGCTTTTTAATGTTATCTTTTCTTTCTGCTTATTGTTACTTTATGCTTATTGTTATTCTCACTACCCTTGAGATAACTCACAACTTTTTCCCCTTGTGTTTTTCTAAGTACAAATGAAAACATGGTATTTTTAAAAGTGATTTAAATATAGTTTTTGTTCCCTTTATCTAACTAAATACACTCAAGGTTTTAATGCTTTTCAAAAAGAAGGGGAAAACAGTTTTACTTAGTGAATAATTTGTTTAAAAATAGCAAGCAATTCAGTAGATATCAAGTATGTTGCTATATTGTTTTCTTTAGATAGCTCACATTTCTAATACTGAACCCATTATTCTTATCTTTCAAGAAAGAGGCTTGACTTAGTGACAAAGGACTTTTCAAAAGCCCACACTGCCTACGTGCTAATGTGTTATTATTATTATTATTATTAAAACATAGTCTGGATATTCTGCAAAGGTTTTTAATTTCTAGCATTTTAAAGCTGTTCAGTAGTTGAAGTTTGAACAGAGTCATCATTGTTTGAGCAGATCAGTTTACATGTCTGATGTTTGATACAGGAATCCTAAGATCATCTAAGAATATGTTCAGATCAGACATTTGTCACTTTCTTGGGTCTCATTAGAAACTAATTATATTCACTTGATAAAAATGGGTAATTTGAAGCTCATTGTTTGATCATTCAGGTATTTATACTTTATAGTCTTGGAAAATGTCTTGTTCTTTAGGAATGCAAGTGCCAGACTATTAGTCTTTTACATAACATACAAGCAAGAGTTTACTATTGCATGTTAGTGCCTGATATTGAAATTCGCTTGTTTTGCCATAAAAAAGATAAGATCCATTATATAGAGCTGCTAACTTTAAAAATCCTAACTCCATTGTTTCTTTGAAAAATCAATTTTTCTTTTCAACTTTATTTAAGTAATTGAACATAAATAAACATAACACTTTAAAATACATTCATCAGGTAAGTTTTAATCCACTACTGGCAATGTTTTTGCTATTTATGGATATATCTTACTTATAATGCTCTGGATAAGCATAACATAGGTGAAAAAGACATAGAATCACTTTATATTTGCACGTAATTTGAAAATAAAGAATCAACTATGAAAGTATATCAGCATGAGTTAATTTAGGTGAAATCTTAGACAATCATGGGTTAACAGTATTTTGCAAGGTTTTTTGTTTTGTTTTGTTTTGTTTTTGGTGGGAATGAGACACATAGGCAAAAAATTATCTCCTCCTCTTGACTTCTGAAAACTCTCAATTGCTCGAGAACATCAGCTGCAGTTACAAAGAGTGATTTAAAATTTAAACACACAGGAACGCATGCATAGAGTCCACACAAATGTGTTATGCTTTAAGATAGAATGAGTAACAGTGCCACCTAACAATTGCAGTCACTTCTGGATATTAGTGTATTTTCTATTTTACCTCATTGCTAGCAGGGAACAAAAATCTAAACTAAACTAAAATTCTTCATAGATAATATATTAACATTTCTTGGCTATTTATTAACTAGTTAACAAATGCTATAGTGAAAAAATGCATTTTTACATATAACCAAATGGGATATTCCTAGTTGACAATCACAGTTGGATTTCTCTCATTAACATATTCTGCAAGAACAATAGCATAGTATATTTTCTCCTAAGTTTTAAGCGTAGTAATAAAACACGCCTTTACCAAGTTCCAATATTTGTGTTATACTAGTCTGCCAAAGAGAAAAAGGCAGGCAAGACAAAAGAAATAGGTTAAGATAAAAGAAAGCACTCTGTATTCAGTGAGGCTTTTTATTTTTAATGGCGTAATCAAAAAAGATTGGTTATGTTGTGTCTGGGTGCCGTCTTTTAAAAGAACCTCTTCTCTCTAGTAAGATTTTTTCCCAACATTTTATTATACATTTTTGTGAACATACAAAAAAGCTAAAAAATTGTGAGCACCCATACACAAACCACCTCGACTCTATGAATAACAGTGTACTGTGCTTGTTTTGTCACATATCTATCAAACTACCCACCCCTCTATTCACCCATCACTCCATCTTATTGTTTTGATGCACTTATAAGTAAGTTGCAGACATCAGTACACTTCACTCCTCAGGATGTGCCTGCTGAAGTGTTTCACTAGAATTCAACATTTGTTTACAGTGCTTACCTTTACGTAAGATTTCTATGTGTATGTTGATGACCTGATTTTGGAAAAATGCACTGTTGTATTTTATATGACATAAACTATCTCTTTAACATAACGAATAGTTGGATGTAAACTCTCATGATTCTATATTTTAACTTGGAAGGTAAATTTGAGGATTTGTCACAAGTCCTCATTTATGACAAAGGGAAACCACTATGGTAGATGTAAGTGGGCCTTCCCCATCTTCAGTTGCTATGTGTCCCCCATCTCAGCCTTCACCCACCATGCCCAGGGACCACTGGTAAGTCACCATCAATTTTGGGATGGAGGAGGTGTCAGGCATACAAAAGTAATTCCCAGAGTCTATTTTTGTTTTTGGACCACCTTTCCTTTCTCTCTCCTGCAGGTGCATGAGAAGTAACCCATTGGCCTCTTGACTGATCACCAGCTTTCCTTCTACTTGGATTCTTCTCTGCCTCTTTTCTTTCCTCCCCAACTCTTCCCACTTAGCTTTCTCTTTTCCACTTTCTCCCTACTCCTACCTTTTCTTCTCAGAAACAAAGGAACAAATCTCTTCATTTTTCAAGTCATTCTCCTGCACTCAATTTCATGGATGCAAAGATGAGGGATTTAAATAATCACAAGAACTCTTAAAAGGATTAGTTTCTCTTGGTCTTAATTAAAACATAAATGAGTTGAGAATTGTCCTCTCAAGACTGCTTTAGTAATTCATCTCTTGGATCCAGTCATGTGAATGAGATTTACTCATTCATTTTTTTTTTTTTTTTTTTTTGAGATGGAGTCTCACTCTGCCGCCAGGCTGGAGTGCAATGGCGCAATCTCGGCCCACTGCAACCTCTGCCTTCTGGGTTCAGGCGATCCTCCTGCCTCAGCCTCCCGAGTACTTGAGACTACAGGCACACACCACCACGCCCAGCTAGTTTTTGTATTTTTAGTAGAGGATGGTCTCGATCTCTTGACTTCGTGATCTGCCCGCCTCGGCCTCTCAAAGTGTTGGGATTACAGGCGTGAGCCTCTGCACCTGGCCCTACTCATTCATCTTTTAACTGAACCCTATACCAAGCTTCTCTAAGATTTGAGTTTGTTTAGCTCCGAAGAATGGGGACATTTGCTATGCTTCCAAAATCCGCTAAGTTTCATAGACTGCAGCTTCCTGTCATTAGCCATGGTCCATGGCACTTCCATTCAGGACCATCACAAGGCCTTATGCCCTTGGTCCTTGGCCCCCAGGGTGCAGACGTTTCCAAAGCCTTCTTCCCTAGGTTTTGGTCCACTTACACAAGGCAGTCACCTTCCAGGTGGCTCCTCTCTCAGGCCATTTTTCTTTATTCAGTTCACCATGCCTAAAGTTTTCATTGGATAGGTAACAATGGGTCTAACCTTAGCTGGAATTCTACCAATTTGCCTATTTTTATTAAGTAGTAATTGGATATGACAGACTGGTTAAGAGTTTAGGCTCTGTAGTAAGACAAACCTGAATTGTAGTCTCAGTTTTGCAACTTAGCTAGTAGCATTATCCAGGCAAGTCATGGAATCAAATTTTAAGCTTCACTTCTTCAGAAGGTTGTTGTGAGTATTAGACGACACACACACACACACACACATATATATAATGAATATATGGCCAAGTTTGGGAAAAGTGCACTATTTTGTGTGTTTGTATGTGTGTGTGTATATATATGTATATATACAGCACACTAATACATAACAAGTATATCTATATCTATATATATCACAGTTTCTAGCACCTGATTGGTACTTGTTATGTGTTAGTGTCATTATAATAATCATCATCATCGTCATCATCATCTCAACAGAAGGTGCCCTCATCCCAGAGCTCAGTTGGCTCTCCGTCAATTAGGGTCATCTCATAGATCCTAGCAGACTACTCTCTCTTTCTATGTCCAAATTTGCTTATCCTAATGGACCTCCCATTAAAGTTCACGTTTTTCAAGGTCTGAAAATATCCCTAGCTTTCAACTAATTGTGGGGCCCAATGAGTGACTACATTTGATAATTTTCTCAATTAGATTTCCAAATGAAAATTCAGGGGACAAAAAGTTAAAGAGATTTTGAAAGTACAGGGAAGTAGTATGGCTGGGACTGTCCAGGTGTTTTACACACAATAAATTATTGACGTGTAAATGTCATTTAGTCCAGCATAACATAATACAGAGGTCAATATGATGGAATCTGAAGCCAGACAGTCAATATTCTAATCCTGATTTTGTTGCTTAGTATCTGTGTGACCCTTGGACGATTTATTTGACCCGTTCTTTGTTCTCAGTTTTCTCCTATACAGTATAAAGTAAGGTTACATGAATTGATACCGTTTCCCATTAGGCTTGAGCTGTACTGAGGATTAGAACTTAATTAATATTACAAAACACCTAGAAGAGGGTCTTGCCTAGTGTGCTTATGGAAGCTTTGTAAATAACAAAGTAAAGAGAATGAAAGATAGACAAAGTACTCTTTGCCGGCGGGGAGTAAATGGATTTACTTGAGTAAGCAGGATATCCAGGAGGCTTATCGCAATTTGTTCTCAGTTCAACACAGCAATTTAGTAAAAGATCACCATTCACGAGCAGGCTCTAGTGGTCAGGCCTGTAATCCCAGAAGTTTGGAAGGCCAAGGTGGGCGGACTACCTGAGTCAGGAGTTCAAGACCAGGCCTGGCCAACAATGGGCAAAGCCCCGTCTCTATTAAAAAATTACAAAAAATTAGCTGGGTGTGGCGGGTGGCGTGTGCCTGTAATTCCCAGCTACTCAGGAGG